ATGATGGGCTAACCCCTCGCCAGTTTTGTCAAAATGTGTCGTTTTTAACATTTCATGAAATGATCTGCAATTACATTTTTTTATTTTTCAAAGGTCATACACACCTTCTAGAGATGAAAACATATGAAAATGGGCCATTTGCAAATTCATGAATTTTGGCCAAAAACGATGGGCTAACCCCTTGCCATTTATGTCAAAAACTGTCATGTTTCACATTTTATAAAATGATCTGCAATTACATTTTTTTATTCGACAGAGGTCATACACACCTTTAAGAGATAAAAAGATATGAAAATTAGCCATTTGCAAATTCATGAATTTTGGCCAAAAATGATGGGCTAACCCCTTGTCATTTTTGTCAAAAAGTGTCATATTTCCATATTTCTTGACTCATCTGCAACTTACATTTTTTGATTCGACAGAGGTCATACACACCTTGAAGAGATGAAAGATATGAAAATGGGCCATTTGCAAATTCATGAATTTTGGCAAAAAATGATAGGCTTACCCCTTGCCATTTTTATCCAAAAAATGTCATTTTTCATATTTCATATAATGATCCGGAATGACATAATTTTGATTAGACAGAGGTTATACACACTTTCTAGAGATGAAAAGATGTGAAAATGGGACATTTGAAAATTCATGAATTTTTGCCAAAAATGATGGGCTGACCCTTTGCCATTTTTTGTCAAAAAGTGTCATTTTTAACATTTCATGGAATGATCTGCAATTACATTTTTTATTAGACAAAGGTCATACACACCTTTAGAGATAAAAAGATATGCAAATGGGACATTTGCAAATTCATGAATTTTGGCCAAAAATGATGGGCTAACCCCTTGCCAGTTTTGTCAAAAAGTGTCGTTTTTAACATTTCATGAAATGATCTGCAATTACATTTTTTTATTTTTCAAAGGTCATACACACCTTCTAGAGATGAAAACATATGAAAATCGGCCATTTGCAAATTCATGAATTTTGGCCAAAAACGATGGGCTAACCCCTTGCCATTTATGTCAAAAACTGTCATGTTTCACATTTTATAAAATGATCTGCAATTACATTTTTTTATTCGACAGAGGTCATACACACCTTTAAGAGATAAAAAGATATGAAAATTAGCCATTTGCAAATTCATGAATTTTGGCCAAAAATGATGGGCTAACCCCTTGTCATTTTTTTCAAAAAGTGTCATATTTCCATATTTCTTGACTCATCTGCAACTTACATTTTTTGATTCGACAGAGGTCATACACACCTTAAAGAGATGAAAGATATGAAAATGGGCCACTTGCAAATTCATGAATTTTGGCCAAAAATGATGGGCTAACTAACCCCTTGCCATTTTTGTCAAAAAAATGTTATTTTTCACATTTCATAAAATGATCCGGAATGAAATAATTTTGATTAGACAGAGGTTATACACACCTTCTAGAGATGAAGAGATGTGAAAATGGGACATTTGAAAATTCATGAATTTTGGCCAAAAATGATGGGCTAACCCCTGCCATTTTGGTCAAAAAAGTGTCATTTTTCACGTTGCATGAAATGATCTGCAATTACATTTTTTTATTCGACAGAGGTCATACACACCTTTAAGAGATAAAAAGATATGAAAATTAGCCATTTGCAAATTCATGAATTTTGGCCAAAAATGATGGGCTAACCCCTTGTCATTTTTGTCAAAAAGTGTCATATTTCCATATTTCTTGACTCATCTGCAACTTACATTTTTTGATTCGACAGAGGTCATACACACCTTGAGGAGATGAAAGATATGAAAATGGGCCATTTGCAAATTCATGAATTTTGGCAAAAAATGATAGGTTTACCCCTTGCCATTTTTATCAAAAAAATGTCATTTTTCACATTTCATATAATGATCCGGAATGTTATATTTTGAATAGACAGAGGTCATACACTCCTTCTAGAGATGAAAAGATATGAAAATGGGCCATTTGCAACTTCATGAATTTTGGCAAAAAATGATGGGCTTAACCCCTTGCCATTTTTGTCAAAAAAGTGTCGTTTTTAACATTTCATGAAACGATCTGCAATTACATTTTTTGATTTGACAGAGGTCATACACACCTTTAAGAGATAAAAAGATATGAAAATTAGCCATTTGCAAATTCATGAATTTTGGCCAAAAATGATGGGATAACCCCTTGCTATTTTTGTCAAAAAAATGTTATTTTTCACATTTCATAAAATGATCCGGAATGACATAATTTTGATTAGACAGAGGTTATACACACCTTCTAGAGATGAAAAGATGTGAAAATGAGACATTTGTAAAAATCATGAATTTTGGCTAAAAATGATGGGATAACCCTATGCCATTTTTGTCAAAAAATGTCATTTGTCACAATTCATGAAATGATCTAAAATTACATATTTTGAATAGACAGAGGTTATACTTTCCTTCTAGAGATGAAAAGATATGAAAGTTGGACATTTGAAAATTCTTGAATTTTGGCCAAAAATGATGGGCTAACAACCCCTTGCCATTTATGTCAAAAAGTGTCGTTTTTCACAATTCATGAAATGATCTTAAATTACATATATTGAATAGACAGAGGTCACACTCTCCTTCTAGAGATGAAAAGATATGAAAATGGGCCATTTGCAAATTCATGAATTTTAGTTGGCAAAAAATGATGGGCTAACCCCTTGCCATTTTTGTCAAAAAGTGTCATATTTCCATATTTCTTGACTCATCTGCAACTTACATTTTTTTATTCGACAGAGGTCATACACACCTGTAAGAGATGAAAAGATATGAAAATGGGCCATTTGCAAATTCATGAATTTTGGCCAAAAATGATAGGCTTACCCCTGGCCATTTTGGTCAAAAAAGTGTCGTTTTTAACATTTCATGAAACGATCTGCAATTACATTTTTTGATTTGACAGAGGTCATACACACCTTTAAGAGATAAAAAGATATGAAAATTAGCCATTTGCAAATTCATGAATTTTGGCCAAAAATGATGGGATAACCCCTTGCTATTTTTGTCAAAAAAATGTTATTTTTCACATTTCATAAAATGATCCGGAATGACATAATTTTGATTAGACAGAGGTTATACACACCTTCTAGAGATGAAAAGATGTGAAAATGAGACATTTGTAAAAATCATGAATTTTGGCTAAAAATGATGGGATAACCCTATGCCATTTTTGTCAAAAAATGTCATTTGTCACAATTCATGAAATGATCTAAAATTACATATTTTGAATAGACAGAGGTTATACTTTCCTTCTAGAGATGAAAAGATATGAAAGTTGGACATTTGAAAATTCTTGAATTTTGGCCAAAAATGATGGGCTAACAACCCCTTGCCATTTATGTCAAAAAGTGTCGTTTTTCACAATTCATGAAATGATCTTAAATTACATATATTGAATAGACAGAGGTCACACTCTCCTTCTAGAGATGAAAAGATATGAAAATGGGCCATTTGCAAATTCATGAATTTTAGTTGGCAAAAAATGATGGGCTAACCCCTTGCCATTTTTGTCAAAAAGTGTCATATTTCCATATTTCTTGACTCATCTGCAACTTACATTTTTTTATTCGACAGAGGTCATACACACCTGTAAGAGATGAAAAGATATGAAAATGGGCCATTTGCAAATTCATGAATTTTGGCCAAAAATGATAGGCTTACCCCTGGCCATTTTGGTCAAAAAAGTGTCATTTTTCACATTTCATGAAATGATCTGCAATTACATTTTTTGATTCGACAGAGGTCATATACACCTTTAAGAGATAAAAAGATATTTGAAAATTAGCCATTTGCAAATTCATGAACTTTGGCCAAAAATGATAGGCTTACCCCTTGCCATTTTTATCAAAAACAGATATACTTTGTTATGTTAATTGTCAAGGGTATGGAGTTATACAATAATAAATCCATGTTTTAAGGAGGGAACTTTTGCTTCTGTAGGTTTGTTTGTTCATAGACTTAAAACATTTAAGTCTATGGTTTGATAAATAGAGGTCAAGGAATTTAGGAAATGTTAGTTTTGAGCACACTCTTCCACCTACCATTTGAAATCAATTCATGAATGAAATTATATGCTCTTCCAAAGAATAGAATTACAGCTTTTCTAAATCTAAATAAAACAAAATTGTTATGTATCAATTTGAAATAAAAACCTGCAGACTGTGAATGTACATTTACAGTAATTGAAACTTTTTTATAAATAAAATACATGATATATGCAGAAGCAAGCAAATCAGAAATATCAAGTATAGTCATGAAATCCTAATTAAAATTTGAGCTCAAGGCCTCAAAATCCATGCATTACCCCAAAGTTAACATGAAGCGGAAAATATGCTCAGAAGCGATGAAGATCGAGGTTGGATACATGCTTGTAGGTATTTTACATGGTTGAAAGTATGGCTGAAACTCTGTAGCAGCAGCCATGCACTGATTCAAAATTTAGGACTGATCCATGCAGCCTGCTATAGCAAAAAAAAACATGCGCAATAATAATTAAGATGCCTTTTTGTCAAGTTGTGTTATCACCGAACAAACACACTCTCTGGCCCATCAAAAATTAAGCTTTAGTCTAAAAGAAATGGTCTCTTTACTATGAAATACATCCCAATATCTCCATGGAAGTCTATGTAGGCCTATTGTTGTGTTGGGATCGGTGTGTTATGTTATTGGCGGTAGGAGAGGTACATCAATAAATATGAAGAAGTAAGGATAGACTATATTAAGAGTATCTATTATCTCCAAACTTTGGAGACTCGAATCGGTCACCTCATTATGAACTTCCACATTGTAAAATACAAGATGAAGAGAGAGCCAGCTAGAAAGAGGGTCTTGATCAAATGGAGATCAAAATTAAACTCCTCTCTACAAAGCCAGAACATGTCATAATTTATACAGAAGGATACAAAATGGATATGAGGGTAGGTTACATTGTGTCAAAGGAACAAAAACAAGTTCCCTCTCACAGTCATTTAGCTAACACATGTGATCTGTTCTGGGAAAGGGTCTTATGAAACAAAGGGGGTTTTGGTTATTGGGAGAAAGACAGAAACTCTTTTGTTTTGGAGGTTTGGGGGCTCTTATCGAGTGTATACAATTTGGGGTTTATTTGGCTAGAATAAGTTATTAAACAAATGTCTTGGAAGGAGGTCTGGTATTTCGCAGGGTGGGTCTTATCTGTATTTGGACATATACTGAGTGATATTACATATTATTACCGAGGGGTGTAGACTTGTACTACCATTACATAACACTATATAAAGGAATTGGTGTGCACCTAAACTTGGACTACAATTTAAGAAGGATACATCATTCTGGATAATCACCATTCGTTCATCATTTCTTTCCTGGGCCTTGATAACTGCATAGATAAGGTGAGAATATTTCTTCTAAGGTATTGATAGTTGCTCACTCAATGCAATTAAAGTATATAGATTATTATTAATGCATGACATATTTCAGCATGAATATTTGTGTTTAACATCTATAATGTACAATAGCCTAGTATATGTGTTATAAATGATTTAAAGATGTATGTGCTCCATTGTTATGATTGTAATTTTGCAAATGACCTTGTATGTAGTGTAACGGCATGATCGAAACCAAAAAGGTACAAAAAGTTTGAAGTTGAAGACTATCAGGCCAAATAGGAATTATTCATGAATCAGTTCAACAAAAAGTATGATGATGCGCCCAGCACCAATCCTGCTTGCATCAGAAAGAAAGAAAAAAAATTGTTATTGTCTTGGTTTGTAGAATAATCTCATTTTGCATATCATTCTTGACATGTTTGAACTGTTTATATAAAATTACTAACCAATAATTCAAATGTTTTTTCCATTGCAGCTTCACCTGTGGAATGGAAAAACTGTTGTCCAAGGAGACTGGGTGGCTGTGTTTTATTCAGGCAGCAGATTTCCCCCCCATTGGACAAGTTTCGCACCTGGACAATGTAAATGGTATTGCCTCTGTCCGATTTCTGAAAGGGCGGAGGCTTTCCAAGACAGATGTTCAGGACGTGGAGAATCAATTTATCATTTGCACCCTTCGTGTACAGTACGTGCATGAAAAGGATTAATTTTTCACACACCCTCTTATGAAGGACAAAGTAGAAATTGCTAAACAAATGAATAGTGAATTTCATATGTGACTCCCTTTCCTCAAACCCACATAAAGTGGCCAGATATATGTGCTATGAGCCAAAATGTGTGAATTATAGTAGGCTTGTTGCATTTTGAGGTACGATGATTACTAAGGACACATACTCCTTGGATCAAAAGAAAAAAATTCATCCAAACTCTGTATCTATGCAAATTAGGTCTAACTTCCATAATTTATGCAAATTTATTCATTGTAATATGATATTCCATTACAATGGTGTCTTTATTGACACATTTAAAAGAGAACATATTTTTTGGATCAAAAGATTTGTTTTGTCAAGCTCTGTTTATATGCAAATTAGGCCTAATTTGCATAATTTGTTCAAATGTATCATAGGCATCGTTTAACAATGTTAAATCTGAGATGCACGGCCCTACGTGTTATCAGTGTCTGTGACATTGTGTAATATTGAAGCCCTAAAAAAATCGCGCTTCAAAATGATCAAGAAGTGCCTCAAAAAAGTTTTTAAAAATCTGTGACCGGTTTTACCAAACTTGTTTTCCCCAATAGACTGTAGTGTGATTTTCCAATCATAAATATCTTAATAATCAGACAGGCGATCGGCTTGTAAAATTCATGGGGTTCCTGATTCACCTAAAGGTTTATAATTATCATTGCAGCATGAGCTAACTCCAGGATTTTGTTTCAGAATCTAAAACAAAGTTACCGGATCCCTTTAATGGAAATGGAATATCTATTACAATGGTGTTTTTACCAAGATATTGGAATTTACATATTCCTTGGATCAAAAGAAGAAAATTAAGCCAGAGACACTCTGTATGTATGCAAATAAGCAAATTAGGCTTTATTTTGTGAGATAATGCAAAACTGAGTGTAAGACTTGAAAATGTCTACAATTTTAATGACAGACATCAAATGCATAATTTTGTATGAAAAATGGTTGAAACCACTGCTTTTTAGAGAGCACCCTCTTTTGTTTGAATGGCTTTTTTTTAAATAATAATGGGCCTTTTACTAAGTCATTTTTTCTTTACCTTTCGAGCATGGTGGTGTTGTACTTATTTGTTTGTAATGTTATTGTGCATGTTTTGGATACTAAAGCTCGGCCTTGCCAAAAGTATACCACCCCTTTAATGTAATCAGTGTAAAGGCATATCTTTTCAACATATCAATTCCTTTCATAGCAAAAGCGCTCCTCACAATTTCTGTAAATTTGGCAGTTTAACGCTACGCGTACCGCCTTGACCGGACTGTGCGGTATCTGTGCAGTTCTGTGTGTAGAGAGGTCGGGCTGTATTCATTATTTCTTGGGGGTGCATAAATTGCTCTAATTATACGTACGCGTGTAATGCGCAAGTTTATTGTGACGGCACTAAACCCATCCCACTCATTGTTCCCCTATTTTCATAATGGTACTGACCCAATGAAATGTAGTGCAGTGCGCTCGTACGCGCTGCGCTGCGTGTGTACATGTACTGTACTTATGCATGTTCAGTTATATGTGTATGCATAGCATTACGTACATGCATACAGGGCTAGCTGGCACAAAACCCTGGGTCGGGCTTCTAAAATGGGACATGAAGCATGATTTGACATGAAAATTGACGGAGCTAAAAATGAATCAATCAAAATGAAATTTATATGTATGAAAAGCTTACGTATCATATGTCATTGTCTGTGATTGAGGATTTACAAATTTGACGCAAAACGCGTTGCTGCAAAGTTAAAGATTGGTTTATTGAAAGGCAATCGAGCACAGTGCGACCGATCCATTGACATTGTGTATGAGAGAGTAATTTTTTTTAAATGGATTGTAAAGTTCAACGTCAAAGTGACGGAGGTTTTTTTTCAAGTAAGGGCATGGTTCTACATGGAATGTAAAGGAAATGTTTCCTTCTTCTCATATCTCGATTGAGGATATTATTCTCAATTTCGATTTTTAATGGTAAAGAAAAGTGTAAAAAGATGTCGAGAATTTTACCATATGTCATGTAATATAAAATGCGCGCGGGTCGGTTGATCTCCCAAAAGGAGCGCGAAGGAATTGATATGAGCTACACATTGATGATTTAGGGAGTAGAGAGAAATTAATGAACAGATAGATTTGTGATGTAACCAGTTGATTTTTCAACAAAATTAATATGTCTAACAGATAGGGTGCCCTTTCCAATGAAAACGATACCAAGAATAGTCCTTTTGGTAGTGTAGTTTTGCATTAGTGCTCTTAGAGTGACACCATGTCAGGTTCCCTTTTTTGTCATGTTTTACCAAGTCAATGCGCCTTAGCGTCGAACAATGAGCAATACGTATGCCATTGTTAGTGTGCATTCAGCTGTGTGCCAATGATGGGCATAGTTGCTCGATGATATTGTGGCGGCCGCCCCCGCCTCCGTCTCCAACCTCGACCTCTACGTCGGGATTATTCTCTTTCCCAGCTGGGGAAACTGATTCTTTATATCTGTCAGGATATTCGTCAGCCGACATTATTTATAACGTCCGAGCGGTTAGAGTAATTAGATCTTATCTTTTATTTGAGGAAAGACGGGGGAAGCTACAATACTTATTTACGTTCGTTTCGTCGAAATATACGACTATGAAGGAGTACCAGTCAAGAAGAAAGACAAAGTGTTTATAGACTCATAATTTCAGTTTCAAGACAAAAGAAAATGGTCAACTTTCATTAATGCATGTACTTCAAATATTTACATCTTTATATCACCACTGTCACAAATACCTTGTGCTCATAGTTATACTTAATAAATTTATACGATTTTCGTTATTATATTCGAATACATGTAAAAAAGTGAAGGGCAATGATTCATTGGGATTTATGGGACTTGGGAGTTTTCCGTCTTAGTTTAATTCCATAGCATCATAGGGGGAGAGGTGGACTTAGAATATTCCTGCATCTTAATAATAGTGGTTCATTAATTCCAGCATCTTAATTCCAGCGTAGACTTCCTTGTGTACCTTTATATTCCAGGGAGGGAGAGAGATCTTATGTGTGGTACCAGTTCCGACGCCCGCCCAATTCCAAGACAAGTCCTTAGGTGGGGGGGGGGGGGGGATTTCCAGGGAGAGACTAATAGTTCTGATTCCGACGAGCGTCCAATTCCAACTCCTCCCGTTTTAGAAATGTTACGGGTTATAAAGGCATAATGCGGACGTGGGGGAAATCGATGCGCTAAGCGATCTTGAAGAGTACGCGCGCAGCGAAAATGGACTTAACATGAAGACTGTGCTAGTTCAGAGCAAAATATCTAAGTAAATCTCTTATTTTACCATTAATTAAATACAACACTCTGAATGACATAGTTGCAGTAAATATTAACAAGTTACATTGTCTAAACAACTTTCCATCCAAATTCATGTGATAGATTGATAAACAATTACAGTATAACATCTTAAAGCATCTCAATAATGGATCCAAATGTCAATCGCTCGTATGCAAATTATTAACGTAAACATTGTGCGTCGGTGTATGATGACGCGCTTGAAAACAACAATCATTTAAGTTAGGCCTCTTTGTTACGTCACGACCGCGGAGCGGATCGTTACAATATGATGACAGGAACTGCGATTTATAAGGAAGTGACTTGGTAAAAATGGCAAAAGTGGGAACCTGACATGGTCTTACTTAAGACGTCCTACAACAAAAACTACTCGTCCAAAATTACTGTTCTTGGTATCGTTTCTCATCTGAACGGACATTCTATCCGGTGGACACAATCATTTTGTTACTTTATTTTAGAAAGTTCCCCATTGCATTGTCGTTGTTGTGGTTGTATTTTTTTTTTTGGGGGGGGGGGAGGTGGGGAGCTCCCAGTTTATACATAAACCATTGTTATCAGAGCTAGTTTAAAAGTTGTTTCAATGTAATTTGTAATGAGTGTAACAATGACAATTTTGTTTTCCTTCTATTTTTTTTTATATATAGATAATGTTTAAATATCTGCATTACTGAAATGATCTTTGAATTTTTCAAATATTTCTATAACTAGAATATTCATGTTCCTATGATAATATTTTGAAAAACATAAGTCTTCCATATGTATTCATTTAATTCAAATAGTAATACAGACCTTTCAGTTCAGTTCAGTTCAGTTCAGTTCATTTATTTTCCACAATAATAAAAGTACAAAGATGTACATTACATATAACAGATATATACATGTATATACAATAACAACAACAAATACCAAAACAAAATGTAAACATTTACAGTAACATTGACAAAGAGCATAAGTGATTGATTAAAGTGTAATGATATAGAACATGTTATTATTGCGGAGGGAGCCAACTGGAAGACAGGAAAATAGTCTTAAGTGCGTTGGCACCCATCATGATCAATTAAATATAATCTTAATACATTAAATAACAATTGAATAATTGCGTTAAACAAAAAAAAAAGCAAAGTAAATTTGTATATAAAGAAAGAAAGGACGGGTTAAGAAGCTCTACTAACGTTGTAGTTGATTACGGTATGAATTTATCAAGTGTTTTTTTAGTTTGCGTTTGAAAGATTGGAGTGACACTGAGTTTTTTATTTCATTTGGTAAAGAACTCCACAGTTTTGGGCCGGTAAAAAATAAAGTAGATTTTGCATAGGATGTACGTATTTTGGGGAAATGAAAATCATTAGAAGACCGAGTTTGATAAGAGTGAATACTTGCATTTATAGGAAATAGATCAGTAATATAACGAGGGAATAAGCGATTTTTACATTTATACATGAACATACCAGTTTGTAGCTGACAAATATCGGATAGGCTTAATACATTGAGCTTATGAAATAGCGGAGCAGAATGAGAGTTATACGAGGATTTTGATATCAGGCGAATGGCTTTTTTTTGTAGTTTAAAGACTCTATCAGAATATGACTTAGGACAGCCACCCCAATTTATATTACAGTATGATATGTGGGGTAGGAAAAGGGTATTGTAAATAGTAAGAAGAATTTTTTCGGGTAATAAATTGCGCAGGCGATATAGGATACCAACAACTTGAGAAATTTTAGAACAAACATCTCCTAAATGATATTTCCAAGACATGGATTCATCTATATGAACACCTAAAAATTTGGTATGATTTGTATGTAATAGTTGGGATTTGTTCATATGGATTCTTATATCATCAATATTATAATTCATATTGCTAAAAACCAT